TTGGATTATCCATAAAATGTGTAATCAAACAACATTAGTTGGTACAATCATACATAGTACATGTACACCTGAACTATGTATCAGGGTTATTCATGAATTGAAACAACTATTTTAAAAATATTTTTATTGATTTATAACAATCGATTATTTAATCAATTTAAAAAAGAATAAAATACAGATAATAAATTTTTTACAGCAATTATTTCCTTAAAAAATGACGATTACTATTACTTCAAAATTTACCCTTTTGAATGTTATTTTTAAAATGTTTTCGTAATTCTTTGAGTTCCCGTAATTTTACTTGATAGTACTTAGTGATTTGCTTATTGAGAGAAGTTTCAAAGTAGCTGATGTACTCATTGTTCTTTTTTTTTGTTTTATAAGAAACTCTAATTGTTGCATAGCTGTGAAGATTGTTGATCCTGGGATGATCATGTGAACTGTAGAAATTTTTTCAGCAGAGGTTTTCACTGAAAAGTCATAAAATTATCTAATTGTATAATTAGATTCAAATCTTATTTGTGGCAGTAAAAAATGTCCTCCCAGCTGCTCAACTTATTTCTTGTTTGAGCAGCTTGGTAATCATTAAGAAACTAATTCCCTAAGAAAAAGAAAAACAAATTTTTATTTCTTAATTAAAATTTAGTAAAATAAAATAAAGTTAGTCTACTCGCACGTGTATGCGAGTAAACTATGTCTTATTATACTCTATTTGCAGGTTAGAAAAAAAAATTCAAATTAAATTTTTTTAATCTCACGTGAAAACTCATTGTAAAACTACAAATGAAAAGGGCTTGACGTACTTGCTCCTGTTTTTAAAATTTTATCTTATTATTTGTTAATGTATATATATAAATATATTTATATTTATATATGTATTAAAGTTATGTTCATGTAAAATGTTTATAAAGAGACATGTTTATAAATTTATAATTTAATTCGTGCATTTATTATAGATTTTTATGTATTTATATAACATAAGTCAAGTATTTATTATAGATTTATTATAGATTGTTATGTATTTATATAATATAAGTCATGTATTTTTTTTTATGTTATTATTTTTAATATATATAAATGACCTTATAATGTACATAATTTGACACAAGATTAAAATAAAATCACATATTGGTTTAAGAAAAACAGATTTTACTGATTATTATATTGATAAAAAATACTTTTTACCTAATATCCAGAAAATATGCCTGTCAAACACGATCCCAACCTCTTTATTATTAATGCAATCCTAAAAAAGGGAAAAAAAATAAGAATTTCTTGTAGACGAAAACCTAACCTGAAAACAAAAAATTGGTAACATCTCCTAGAAAGTTACTGAAAGTATTTGAATTATATAAAAAGCAAGACATATGTTAAATAAATAACAATTAAAACAACTATATTATTCGTTTATCTATTGCCATTAAAGTTATGCAAATATTGTATGGAGAAAACGGTTTATTTGTGTGATGTTTTTGTTGATATTTATTAATCACCCCAAAATACTTATATATATTGCATATTTTTTGATAAAACATAATTTTTAAGATTGAAAAATTTCATAATTATCTATTTTATTTTTTTATTTTATTTTTTTATACAATTAATATAATTATTTACAACTTATTCGTTATGTAACTTTTTAAAAATGTTTGAAAACACCAATGTACCAATGTAACGTTGCTCTGTGATAAGACAAGTTTGTGCTTTTCTTGCTCCAGCCAGGTTTTCTACTACTGTAATATTTTTTTATAATTTTTAACGAGCTAATGTAATATTTTTTTATAATTTTTAACGAACGAAAAATGAAAAAAATGAAAAAAAAAAAAAGAAAACGCACAAAACTTAACTTCTTTTTTTAAATCTTATAGAGACAAAGAATAGAATCCAGAGTTAGAAATTGGCAAACACAGTAAAGAGATGCAACCTTGGCAGATGCTAATTTTACAATAGATTTGATATATAATTTTCAAGAAAGATCGGAATTAGGAATTAATCTCAGGTTGCGAAGGGTAGATGACTTATCATTACATTACCGTTCATAAATATAGGAAGACCTAGTTCGTTGCAATAATGAATAGCTGTAACAAATTGATCTGTAGCAGAAGTGAGATTCTTTTCAAGCTCAAAGGTCCGCTCCGAGCAATCAGAAAGTGTTAGTCTCAAAGATATTACCTGATACACCGTAAGAAGAGTGTTTATGTAAAAACCAGCTTGCCAAACTTCATTAAAGTCTTTAAAAATGTTGAGAGCGATAGTCTTAACCTCTCCACATATATCTAATGCACGATAGACCTGTCAGTATTTACGTTAACAAATCAGCAGTGGAACGAGAAGATTCAAAACCCTTACTGAAAGTGAGCTATTAGATTCAAGATTAGAGATAAATTTTTGTAAATTAAAGACTCAAAACTTTGTTTATGATAGGAAGAAGACTAATGGGAAGATAGTTGGAAAAATGTCAGATTGCTCTCCAGACTGTTTGAAAATAGGGATAATAGATGCCACTTTCCAGCCTGGAACACAAGACTCTGATAAACACTTGACAAATAGCTTTGAAAGTATAGACGATAGCTCCGGAGAACTCTTCTGCAAGAATATAAAAGGTTTGTTGTCCGGACCACAAGCTGTAGAAGAGTCTAAGCAGGAAATCACTTTAGATACAGAAGCTGAAGTGATACGAATGTCAAATAATGGATCAACTTTTTTATCGGCTATTTTAGGTAGAATGTGATTATACTATACCCATCGGACGGATCAAGAGATGAGATGAAAATGATGAGCAATGATACGATGAGATGAAAAATTCTTAGTAAACAATTAGGTTTTGTTTTAAGGTAAGGTACAAAATCTAAATCATGCAAGAAAGTCAGAATAACAGATTTACTTTTAATATAGGCACTGTTAAAGATTCTCCAGAAATCTGCGGGGCGTAATTTTTGAGATGAAATTTTTGTGAACTGAGAGTAGCAGGCTTTGGCGTTAGACAAAATCTTTTTACAGTGGCTTCTAGCAATAGTTACCAGACGTCTATTTTCTGAATAATCTTTTACTGGTAAGTAAAATGGTTACGATTGGAAATTGCAGCAACACAATGCAGAAAATCATGGGGAAAGTGAGACTTGATTTCGAATTGGCGAGAGGGAATAAAAGATTCCATGTTAGCCTTAATCCAATAAGTTACATATGAAGCACATTTTTCAGCAGGAAGAGAAAAGATTTCTTCCCAACTACGAAGAAAATCACGGAAAAAATCAAGTCAACTTTAAGGTAGTTGGAAGAGGTACAATAGTAAGGGGATTGTGATGATAAAGTTGGGGGAGATGATGAAGAAAAATGAAATAATAGTTTTAGAGAGATCAAACCGTGATCAGAAGCACCTAAGGGTGAATGTCAAAAAACTGAGCATCGATTAGGATCAAAAATATTTGGATTGTCTAGAAAGCGAGTTGACTATTTGAGTTAGAGATTTAGAAAGGCAAAAGTTTTGGGCCTTTATGCCTGCAGAGTCACTGACACTAGAGCCAAGCCATTCAGTGTGATGAGCATTAAATTCACCAACAACAACGGTATTGGCAGAAAGATAAAGAGAGAGAGTTTGATAAATTTGATCAGAAATAACATCAAAAAAAGTGCAGTCTTGAGATGAAGGAGAGCAATATAGAACAAAGAGAAAGGTGATAGAATAAAGTGGTGTAAAAAGTAATAGTTATTTTCACGGAAAGGAAACCAACTTTGGCACGTGTTATTCTTTTTGTTTAAAAAGACTTTAAAGACGCAAAAGAAACCAAGCGTAACTTTTTTCTGAGTTGCGCCAGCTGGGGATTGGAACAGCTATGCATTTTTTATCGCGTTCCTTTTTTATGGAATCAAATAGTTTTGCTTAACTTTGATTTTTTTTTTATAGCCACACTTCTAGGCATAAACCAAAAACACGTTTATTTTACTCGCAGTTTTAATCAAGTGTTACACTTTTTTTATTATAAAGTCAAACTTAATTATCGCATGCTTAAATCAGTTGTTTCACATTCCTTACAAAAAATTAGTATATTATCATACTATGTTTCTTTTACGGTGAAACCATTATTATCTTAATTGATGTTTCGTTAAATAATAATAAGTAGTTTCACAAAATCAAAATCCTATTATAACACGCGATATATATTTTTTCTATTAGACGGGTTTAAAACACGCTACATAAACTATTTTTTTCGAGTTGAACCGGCTGGGGAATTTTTACTTCGTCAAAATCTTTAAAAGCAATTTAATCTAAAGAAGTTATAAAAGATTGAAACTAATTAAATATAATTAAACTTTCATTCTCAAAAAAAAAAAAAAGACATTAAAAAAAATAGTATAACGTTCCAATAGATAAACAAACTTTGCGAAATAGGGGAGAGTGACCTAAAACGGGCCCCTTTTCAAAAAATGATAGAATCAGCTAGCTATAACCAACCGAAAATTACAAACAAATTATTTTTCAGGAAATTCAATCTATGTTCTACAATTTAACATCAAAAAAATAAAGGTGTGGCTATGCCTTACATTAGGAAATAACCGTTGAACAAAGAGATGCTAAGGGCCCGTTTTACCCTTGAGGTAGCCTAAAATGGGCCCCTTATTTAATTTCTGAATAAAACCTAATTATTAAACAAAAATTTACTGTAACTAATTTATTGATGGTACATAATCTTCTGTTCACATTAAAATTTGACACTCTGAGTAAACTCAAATGAGGCAGAATGTACAATGTGCCTAAATTGAAGTGACAACTCTCGAACTAATCTTGTGCAAATTAAAAGATAATATGTTTATTTTAAAAAATATTAAAAAACACAATAAACATAAGTGGTTTTTATAACTTATAATTGCAATAAACATAAATACAATATTTAGCTCAACAAAATTTAAAAGTTGTCTTTTTAAATATATTAAAAAAATGAAACCTCAGTTTTATTTTTTACTTATAGCTGTAAAGTTTAGTTATCTTTATTGTTCAATTCTTAAGCACATAACATTGTTTTTTTTATTGGGTTTTTTATTTTTATCAGTTTCTTTGACGAAGCGTGGTCTTTTTTTGGCCTTTGTGATTTTTTTTTTTCTTTTGCTCTTTTGATTTCTGTTAATAACTTTCGGTTTTCTTTTAATAACACTTTTATTGTCTTTGTATTTTGTTTTTCTTCCAAAGCATATTTGTATGGACTGCTTGTCAAAACAGCAGTAAACCCTTGTGCTGATGATTTTTTTTTTCGAGGAGTAATAATCTTTGGAATAGGAGAAAGTTCTGTTAAGGGAAAATATTGGTTTTTATTTGATACTGTTAGTGGAACAACTGGCTCTGAAAAGTTGAGACTTTGTGTCAGAACTTGATTAACAACTGGTGTTACAACTTTTGAGGCCTGAAGCTCAATGAGCAGATCCTCATTTTGAGCAATGTCTAGAATTTGCTGTGGCGAGATTAATGTTTGCCCAGGAACATCTTCTAACATTATTTTTTTATTGAGCAATTGCAGAGGAATATCAGTTGCGAGTGCTGAGGCAAAATCATTGTCTGTAAAAACATTTCGATTTATCGGAAAAATGCCAGTCTTAACAAAACCATTAACAGCAGTGATAGCGGATGCTGCTCGCAAGTAGCTATTTTTAAACAGTTCGGCTATTTGATAAGTTGTTACAACTCGTCTAGGATGATTTCTCAGCCAATTTTCAACCTCTTCTGCATAATAGGTCATTAAAGGCTTCATAAAAGCTACATCTAAAGGTTGAAGTCTATGGCTACAATGTGGTGGAAGACACAATAAAATAACGTTATTTTGACGAGCTAGATTAATTACTTTTAGATTTGAAGTATGAGTTTTATGCCCATCTAATATTAGCAAAACAGGATCATGCTTTATTGGGTTAGCATATTTTACAAAGTGCATGAACCAAGTAACAAATATATCACTTTGCATCCAACCTGATGGGTGACAAACAGCAATTGAACTGGGTGGTGCAGCATCCATTAGTTCAGATTTCATGTGAACTCTTGGAAAAACAAAAAGAGGTGGCACAAAATTACCTGAAGCACTCATGCAGATTTCCACTGTAACCAACTGCCCATGCTCAGCAGAAGTTAGGCATCCAACCTGTTTCTTTCCACGAATAGCAACCACTTTTGATGGCTTATTTGGAACAGTAGTAATGCCTGTTTCATCAACATTATAAACACGATCTGGAAAAAAGTGATGCTTTTCCTGCAATGCTTGCAATAAATCAAAAAACTTTCCGACACTAACTTGATTAAAGCCCTGTGCTCTTGCAGCAGAAGTTGGCTCTGGTGTTCTTACAGATAATTCAGGGTGTCGAGTCAAAAATCCACGAAACCAATTAGCACCAGCTTGTTCACTTTTTGAACTGAACCTTTTATGAAGATTGTTAAGTTTAGCAAACTGGTAAGCAACTTTACGCAAAACTTGAGGTGTTAAACCAAAAAGCATAGCTTCCATTTGCTTGATATGAGTCACCAGCTCATTTTCCATTTTAATAGAAAACACACATTTTACTGATCCAAGTGATTTTAATGAGGCTTGTACAAAGTTCAAATTAAGTCTACACCTTCTTTGCAGAGTACTCCGTGGTACATTGAACTGCTTGCATGCTTTTTTAAGTCCCATTTCTTTCTTTCTTACAGCTTCAATAGCTGATGACATAGACCTCTCACTCCAACACTGCCTTTTTGTTTTTCTTACATATTTACCCATATCTAAAACAAGAGGAATTGATAGAAAAAAAGCTTATAAAATCAGTCCAATTCAATCAAACTATAAAAAAAACGTCTTAGGATGTAAATTTTACACTTAAACTTTTTTGTAACTCTCTATATATTGTAATTATATTCAATATAATTACAATATATAGAGAGTTATATATAATCTTGAAATTATATATTACAAACTCTTTAAAAATATAATTAAAAGCACACAAAGTATAAAATAACATTTAGATTCAGTTTAATATTATTTATTTAAATATTTAAATAATATGTATACATTGTATTTAATAAGGATTGATAAAAAATATTGCCAAATCTATAATTAAGTAAGATTTGCATATTTTCACAAAAAGTTACAAGTTATAATCAATATTCAAATATATATGTAAATAAATGACACGAATGAAAGATTATAAAAATTTTTAAAAATACAAATACATAGCTGTTGCTTTAAATTACAATAAAAATAGCAAAGGAAGTCGTTGTCTTTATTAAGGAAGGAATTAAGGAAGTCACTATTACTTATTACACCGTTACGACAATAATATTGCCAATTTATTCTTTTTTTAACTGACACTAAGCTGAAATATTTTGCCGTAAAACCTTGCTATTTGAACGGGGAAATGGGCCCCGGGGCCCATTTCAACCGTTTTGGAGTGTGTTATTGATATTTAGTGAAAAACATAAGTTGTTAGACTATTCTCATAAAAATCTTGTGCTAATAAAAAGATAACTTGTTAAAGCTTTAGAAAGTATAAAAAAAAAAACAATTAACATAAGTGTTTTTTACGATTATAGTAAAAAATATTTAGCTCAAAAAAATTTCAAAAGTACTACTTTCAATTATTCTTGTTGCAAAAAAATAACAATGAAATAAACTATTTTTCGGGTGGTTTTCTTAAATGTTTATAGTCTGCTGCACAATATTCCACAGTAAAATTTATAACAATTATTGTCCAAGCAAGAGATTTGATAGGGGCCCATCTCACCTTTTGGGCCCGTTTTAGACCACTTTCCCCTACTTTTTTTTATTAAAAAGTTGCCCAACCCCTCCTCCAATCTCTACATCTATCCCTAGATAGTCAGTCAACGAATGTGTACTCCTCTGCGCCAGATTATATTTAAATTTAAAAATAAAATGTAAAATATCTTTATTTTTTTTTATAGTTTCATTAAATAGGAGGATTTTTCCTTTTTAAGTATGTGAATAGACTGTAATTAAAAATACGTGGTAAATAAATAAACGTGTGAATAGACTGTAATTAAATATATTCTATTCGCACGTGAAAAATGTGTGAGACACTCTGATTAATATAACTCTCTTATCGTCAAAAAAATTAATTAAAAATTTTTTACTTATCTTAAGATTTTTTAGACTGTTCGATATCAAAATCTAAAAGTCTAAAAAAAAAATAAGCAAAATACAGAAAAACCTCGATCTACACAAGTGTTATTATTTTTGCTCTACACAACTGATATTATTTTCGCTCTACTCAACTGATATTATTTTCGCTCTACACTTTTTCGCTCTACACTTTTTTCGCTCTACCTTTTTGCATGCTGACGGCAAGATATTCCAATCATTGACTATAGGATGTAAAAAAATTTTGACAAGCATTAATTATATGTGAATTCACGCAGTAGGAAGTTTGACAAGCATTATTATATGTGAATTCACGCAGTATGAAGTTTGACAAGCATTATTATATGTGAATTCACGCAGTAGGAAGTTAAAAGGTGATCTGCGTATTGGTGGATGCGAATCTCAAAACCGTTAGCTTAAACTATTGGATCAAGTCGTCTCCTGCGAGTTTCCAAAGTAGTAAAATTTAGCTGCCGACACCTTTCAGCATAAGTTAATCCTATTAACTCATGAGCTACTTTTGTCATGTCATGAGCTACTTTTATTATGTCAAATTTTAATTCGATTTCTACTTTTAAAATACTCATCTTTTAAATATCTTTTTGTATGATGTATTGTATTCGTTTCGAAATAGCGTTCGACAGCTAAATTTTACATTGAAATTTTATAATAAGTATTCATTGAGAAATAATGGTTTGCTAAATGAACCATTTTGTAGAACAAAGTTTAACACATTTTTTAAAAATCTGTTTTTAAAAATAATTTTAAAGATTTTATTCTTGCTTTGGATAACATTTTAAGTTATTATCATTTTTAAATAAACCTTGATTTATGAGATTAATATTTACAGATTTGTTTTCTTTGATGCTTAGTAGAACGTTAAAAAGAAATTTGAAAAGTTTAAAATGCAGTTTGAGAAGATATTTGCTGAAGCAATTGCACCTGGTCGATCATAGGCACTGATTTCTCAAGTTGGATGAAGATACTTCACCTCAACTGGTTCCAGAAGACGTTGTTGTACCAGTTAAGATGTTTTAAGAAAGTGATTCTTTGGACAAATTCTTTTGCTTTCAGTTATTATTCATAACAAGTACACTAATAAAACATTAATGAAAATCTTTGATTTCATAAAACTTCAAAAAAAAAAGCACGCAAACTGCAAATAGAATGCAGAAAATTTTCCATACCAAAAAAGGAAAAGGTCAACATATCCCGAATGCCACAGGAAAAAATAGAACCTTTTTTGGAGTTTATGTTTTGCGAGGTTTGCTGCAAGAAGTGTAAATAAAATAAAGTTTGACTATGGAGAGAAACAAAAAGTGGTTAATGCTATTTTGATGATGAAGTTTAGCCATACAAATTTGCCAAGAAACTAATTATCTATTTATGTCAGATACTTATTTACGGAATGTTCATCGTGGAATAAAATATTCTTAAAGGAAAGGTTTGGCTGGTCTTGATGGTGTCACGGCAGTTGGCATGGATAGGTTTCAAACTTTGATTGCTGTTTTTTTATGAAAAGTGGAAGTATAAAAATATTACTTAGTTCCTTGAAAAGTGTAAAAGGTATCGGAAGAGTAATTATCCTTCCAAATACAGTGAAAATTTCACTTTGCAAAGCCACTCTACTTCTTTTGCAATTTCAGATAAAAATCCAGATTTAAATCAACCTTAAATCATAGCTGCTGACAATGAACAATGCATTGACTGTGCTAACCTCATTTTAGCAATATACCAGGTTTGTGGTTTATTGCTGAAATGAGGTTAGCACAGTTCAGGTAAATGGTCAATTATAAAAAAATTTTAAAACAAGCCAAGCCTTGTTTATGTGCTCTGTCTTGCTGATGTTGTTTTGTTAAAAAAACCCTTATGCCAAGTCAGATGACACATCATCTAATTTTTAAAAGGTATGATTACCATTCTTAAAAGGTATGATTACAATATGCCGTTACGTGGTCAATATGAGGTAGAGTTGGCAGGAGCGAAATGTGTCATAAGGAGTTTTGTTGATGCTAGAAACAATTTATTGACTGCAGAAGATATTTATGAGGCTCTTCATAATGGCAAAGGAATTCAAAATGCTGACATCGCTGAAGTTCCAATAGACTCCAAAGCTTTATCAGGACCAAATCTGATTCCGAACATAAACAGTTATCATTCTTTCCGGTTTTTCTCTGATCACATGATAATGTAAAAAATGGTACTATACTAATGTGACATTTCACTTTCATGGTTCAAGTCCTAAAGTTCATATTGCAAAAGTTATAATGCATCATCATTTTCCAAAAAAAAACGTGTTGATAGATTTGTTAACGCTCTTAAGTTTTGTACACAAAATGGTTGAGCTGAATAATTTTATGATACTGAATTATTAGCAGAACACATGCTTTCAGAAAATCACTCTTCTCAATCTGTGGTAAAATCTATGGTAGACAGGGCAAGACGTTCCTATGTCAACAAAATGAACCTTATTTCGAGCCTTAACTCTTCTGAACACATGCTATTATCTCATTCTATTACTAAACAAATGGTGGAAAACTTCACAAATATCACTGGATAGGCATTACCAAAAAGAAAAGTAGTTACATATTCTTCAAAGTAAAAAAACATTGCTAATGCAGATGTTTATGGCTGGAAAAGAACGTGGGAAGAAAATGAGTCCAGAGCAGGTTCAACAGCAGCTTAGGACAATGTTAAAGCCAAATGAATATGTGACAACTCAAAAAACTCCATCATTATTCATTTTTGTGAAGTGAGATCTATTGCATTGAAATACAAAATTATTGGTTTATTAACCATACTAATTAATTTCAAGGAATATTTAGGAAGCAGCAATGAATAGACGTTAGTTTGTATTTACTTCAAAAATTAGGTCAATGATGATGAAATATATGTTTCTTGTATGGAATATTCTGCTGCACGTAGAAAGAACTGCTTTAAGTGGCCAACTAAAGAAAATATCCTTCAATATTTATCTCTTGACGTTGTTGTAGGATTGATGCACCAACTTATCAGAGAGGAGATTATTTTGTCTCAAAAAACAATATTGACAACGTGAAAATTCAGATTGGCAATTAATAAACTTTTTAAAATTTTTTGTTTGTTTATAATTCTTAGAAAACTGTATTTTACATCAATTTTTAAAGGAAAAAACGTTGATCTTAAAGTTTAATTGTTCTTTGTTTTATTGACAAAGTTAAATAACTAGTTTTTATCAAATGTTCATGTACAATTCCGTTATAAAAATGTATTATATCAAAATAGCTCATTTGGAAAACCATTATTTCTCAATGAGTACTTATTATAAAATTTCAATGTAAAATTTAGCTGTCGAACGCTATTTCGAAACGAATACAATACATCATACAAAAAGATATTTAAAAAATGAGTATTTTAAAAGTAGAAATCGAATTAAAGTTTGACATAATAAGATATCAATTATGATATTTAGAAGTTTTTACTGCGTTAAGAAGAAACATTAAGGAGTGGAAATTAACATTTAACAAGTCTGTTGTCATTGCATCACTTCAACTTTTTGTTAAGCACTTTGTTACATTAAAAATGCTTACAATGTAATTTTTGTCAATTGTTCTTGTACAGTTCCGTTATAAAAATGTATTATATCA